AAGGACTGATACTGGTTTACCATAAGACATTAAAAATATTTATGCTTTTAAAATAACAACTTGCAAAGAGCATGGCCAAGAAAAGTTTGGGGAAGATTCTGAAGCATTAATGGATTTTCTTTTTTTATTATTATTTTTAATTGTGATAAAATACACATATTTACAATCTTAATCATTTTTAAGTATACATTTCAGTGGTGGTATTAAATGCATTTACTTTGTTGTGTAACCATCACCACCATCTGTCCACAGAACTTTTTCATCTTCCAAAACCGAAACTCCATATCCATTAAATGAACACCCCATTTTCCCCTTCCCTCAGCCACCAGGAACAACTACACTACTTTCTGTCTCTACAGATTGTACTACTTTAGGTACTTCATGTAAGTAGAATCATACGGTATGTATCTTTTGTCACTGGCTTATTTCACATGGCATAATGTCCTCAAGGTTATCCATGTTGAGGCATCTTTCAGAATTTCCTTCCTTTTTGAGGCTGAATAATGTTACATTGTATAAATATACCACATTTTGTTTATCCATTCATCCACCAATGGACACTGGGTTAATTCCATCCTTTGGCCATTGTGAATAATGCTACTGTGAACACAGATGTGCAAGTATCTCTTTGAGACCTTGCTTTGAATTATTTTGGGTATATACCCAGAAGTGGGACTGCTGGATCATATGTTAATTATTATGTTTAATTTTTTTAGGGGGCCAGGTACAGTAGGTTACACCTGTAACCCCAGTGCTCTGGGAGAACAAGGCAGGGAGATCGCTTGGGTGACCACAGGATTTTGAGGGTTACAGTGAGCTACAGTCACCCCTCTGCACTTCAGCGTAGGTGACAGAGGGATATTCTGTCTCTTAAAAATAAAAAATAAAATAAATAAAAATTTGAGGAACTGACGTACTGTTTTCTATAGGGGCTGCATTTTATATTACCACCACCAGTGCACAAGAGTTCCAGTTTCTCCACATCCTCTCCAGCACTTGTTATGTTTGTTTTTGTTTTGTTTTGTGTGATAATAGGCATGAAATGATATTTCATTGTGGGCTAGATTTGCATTTCCCTAATGATTAATGATGTTCAGCATCTTTTCATGTGCTTATTAGCCATTTGAATATATTCTTGGAGAAATGTCTATTCAAATCCTTTGCCAAATTTTTTTTTTTTGAGATGGAGTTTCACTCTTTTTGCCCAAGATGGAGTGCAATAGCATGATCTCAGCTCACTGCAACCTCCACCTCCTGGGTTCAAGTGATTCTCCTGCCTCAGCCTCCTGAGTAGCTGGGAATACAGGCATGCGCCACCATGCCCAGCTAATTTTTTGTATTTTCAGTAGAAATCGGGTTTCACCACGTTAGCTAGGTTGGTCTCCAACTCCTGACCTCATGTGATCCGCCCGCCTCGGCCTCCCAAAGTGCTGGGATTACAGGCATGAGCCACTGCACCTGGCCAGAAAACTTTTAACTCAAAAATATCTCTTTGAAATACCTTTGGCCAGGTGTGGTGGCTCGTGCCTGTTATCCCAGCACTTTGGGAGGCCAAGGAGGGAGGATTGCTTGAGCCCCAGGGCTCAAGACCAGCCTAGACAACATAATGAGACCCCGTTTCTACAAAAAAATACACAAAAATTAGCTGGGCGTGGTGGTGCATCTGTAGTCCCAGCTGCTTGGGAGACTGAGGTGGGAGAATTGCTTTAGCCCAGGAGTTCAAGGCTGCAGTGAGGTATGATTGTGCCACTGTACTCCAGCCTGGACGACAGAACAAATCCTTGGCTCTAAATAATAAAAATAAAAATAAGATAAAATTGAAAAAGAAATATATTTGTTCACACTACTTGAAAAAAGAAAATATTTGTTTTTTGATTATAAAAGAATGTATGTTGATTATAAAAATTCAGATATTACATAATTGAATAAAGTATTAATAGAAAATGAAAATCCCCCAAAATCTCACCCACAGAAAAAACTCTTTTAAACAGTCTAAACAGTCTAGTATAAACTTCCATAACATAGGCATACACACAGACACACCCACACACACACACACACACACACACACATACTGTATTTTACTTTTCTCTGCTTAACAATATATCCTGGACATTTATCCATATTAATATGAGATGCTGTTAATTACCTTTTTTAAATAGTGGTAAAGATAGTATTTATATATATAAACTAATACTAAATTTTTGTTTGGGAGGCCGAGGCAGGCAAATCACCTGAGGTCAGGAGTTCCAGACCAGCCAGGCCAGTGAAACCTCGTCTCTACCAAAAATATGAAAATTATTCAGGCATGGTGGTGCACACCTGTAATCCCAACTACTCAGGAGGCTGAAGCAGGAGAATTGATTGAACCCGGTAGGCAGAGGTTGCAGTGAGCCAAGATCGTGCCACCGCACTCCAGCCTGGGCAACAGAGTGAGACTCCATCCCAATACATATATACACACATACATACATATATACATACATACACAAATTTTTTTTAAATTCACAAAACCTAAGACAAAACGGATTCTAATAAGATCAAAAGCACTTCAGGGTCTAACATTGAAGAATAGAGAGACAAAATATAAAATAAAGCTCGTAATTATTCTGTATCACTTGTACATAAAATCTAAATATTGAATAGTGCTATAATTGCAGACTTGCCATATTTACCTATAGCGCATTTACAAACTCTCTTTCTCTCTCCAAACCAGAAATAATGTAACCTCTGACCATGCCACATCTACAGAAGTGTCTGATCAGTAAGGCCAGCCATTTCCAAAGCTTTTAGTAAGAGAACAGAGAGGCTACCAATCTAGTTGACAAATGTAAAAGGCAGATGAACATATATAGGGGTTTGCAAGTGTCAGCCTCCATTTAAAGTACAATTCTCTCATTGTGCCATTAGTAAATAACATTTTGGTTGATTTCTTCAGTTACACAAAGAATTAGTGTCTTCCTTTATGATTAAGGAAAGAGAGATTGCCCTGTAAGTCTCAGCAAACGATACAAATTTAAGTACAAGTTGAAATCCTGTCATTTGGAGCAACATGGATAGAACCGGAGGTCATTATGTTAAGTGAAATAAGCTAGGCACAAATATCACATTTCTTATTCATATGTGAGAGCTAAAAAAGTAGGTCTCATGAAGACAAGAGAGTAGACTGCTGGATACCAGAGGCCAGGAAAGGTAGCAGGGAGGGGGAGATAAAGAGAGGTTGATTAATGGGTACAAATATTAATATACAGTTTGATAGAAGAAATAAGATCTAGTGTTCAACAGATCAGTGGGATGACTACAGGTTACAATAATCTATTGTATATTTCAAAATAGCTAACAGACTAATTTGAATGTTTCTAGCATAAAGAAAAAACAAATAGGGAAGGTGATGGCTATCCCAATTACACTGATTAGACCTTTACAAATTATATCAATGTATTAAATTATAACATTACCCTCAAAATATGTACATCTATTATGTATCAATAAAAAAATAAATTTAGGCTGGGCATGGTGGCTCACACCTGTAAATGCCAGCACTTTGGAAGGCCAAGGTGGGAGGGTCTCTTGAGTCAAGGAGCTCAGGACAAGGGTTGAGCCTGGGCAATGCAGTGAGATCCCATCTCTAAAAAAAAATTAAGAAATTTGCTAGGCATGGTGGCTCATGTCTGTAGTTCCAGCTACTCAGGAGGTTGAAGTGGAAGGATCACTTGAACCTGGGAGGTTGATGCAGCAAGCTAAGATTGTGCCACTGCACATCAGCCTGGGTGACAGAGCGAGACCATGTCTAGAAAAAATAATAAAAAATTTACAAAAATAAATTTTAGAAACAACAAAACTGAATGAAATAAAAACTGAATCAAAAAAATTAAGCAAGTGGAAACTTACATATCTCCTGATATGGTCAAATTTTCTTAATTTCCTAACTACTTTTTTTCCACAAGGGTCCTGGGTATTTTCTCACTTCTAAGAGGTATTATCTACCTCTACGTTAACTTTCCATACCAAATGAACAAATTTACCAAACATTTTATCATTAATCTAAAACTTAACGGGAATGGCATATGATCGGCATGGCTTTACCATCAACTTCACATAAGTGTTCAGAAACCAGGTGAAAGTGAACTCCTAACTTGAAGGAGCTTTTAATGCTTGCATGAACATTTTCTAGGCCTTCAAAGGTTGTTACTGCTGTTTCTCCTTCTCCTTTTTTTTTTTTTTTGTCTTTTTTAATATCTTGTTCTCTTCTTTCTCCCACTGAAATTCAAGAATATGTAGCTACCATAAGCTTGGGATATCCTAGAAACAACGATGGTTAGAAGACTGGTATGGTTTCTACACACTCATCTTTTAATTGATGTCTTCTACCCACTCACTCTTACTCATACCCAGCTTCTCCCATATTATTGAAACTTCAATCCTTGCCTCTGTTATGTTCAGGTTTCTAAGCCTGGGGAAGATAACACTTTAAAATGCCGTAAGTGCAGTGGGAAGGGACTCAGCAGGTAGCCAGAAAACCTAGAAATTATGACTAGGACTGGATACTTTGGCATTAATACCTATGTTTTGCAATGTCCAAAGCATGACTAGAATTGATCTTTCACCCCCTGAATGCTGTCATATTCCCATATTACCTGTATTTCTGTGCCTAAATAACACCATATAGACAAATTCTCCAATTTTATATCAACTTTATTCACACTGAAGCTGCCACATCTTAAATTAGGAATGCTTTCAGCTACAAGAACAGAAAAGTCTGACAGAATGGTGGGCGCAGTGGCTTACACTAGTAATCCCAGCACTTTGGGAGGCTGAGGCGGGTGGATCATGAGGTCAGAAGATTGAGACCATCCTGGCCAACCTAGTGAAACCCTGCCTCTACTAAAAATACAAAAATTAGCCGGGCATGGTGGCAGGTGCCTGTAATCCCAGCTACTCAGGAGGCTGAAGCAGAGAATTGCTTGGACCCAGGAGGCAGAGGTTGCAGGGAGCCAAGATCACACCACTGCACTCCAGCCTGGGTGATACAGCGAGACTCCATCTCAAAAAAAAAAGAAAAGTCTGACAGGTAGCTTAGACTCTTAGTAGTCTGTATCCTTAACAAGAAGTCCAAAGGTTATCTCAGGGCTATTCTGGCAGCTCAATAATGTCGTTAAGAACTCAGACTCGGCAGTTCCCGTCATCTTCGGGAGCTGTAGAGGTATGAATTTAAGACAGGCCTATTTTATTAATTTATTTCCAAATGCAGCGAAAGGTCCAACGACCATCTGTGGGCCACTTAATTCAGGGCCCCCAATTTGTACAGGAAAAACTCTCAGATACAGCCAACGCCATGGGTTTTGCAGACCTGAAAAGCCCCACTGGCCTCCAGGTGCTCAATGATTACCTGGAAGACAAGAGCTACATCAAGGGGTATGTGCCATCACAAACAGATGTGGCAGTATTTGAAGCAGTGCCTGGCCCACTGCCTGCCGACTTGTGTCATGCCCTACATTGGTATAATCACATCAAGTCTTACGAAAAGGAAAAGGCCAGCCTGCCAGGAGTGAAGAAAGCTTTGGGCAAGTATGGTCCTGCAGATGTGGAAGACACTACAGGAAGTGGAGCTACACAGATAGTAAAGATGATGATGACATTGAGCTCTCTGGATCTGATGAGGAGGAGGAAAGTGAAGAAGCAAAGAGGCTAAGGGAAGAACATCTTGCACAATATGAATCAAAGAAAGCCAAAAAAACCTGCACTTGTTTCCAAGTCTACCATCTTACTAGATGTGAAACCTTGGGATGATGAGGCAGATATGGAGAAATTAGAGGGCGTCAGAAGCATTCAAGCAGACGGCTTAGTCCGGGGCTCATCTAAACTAGTTCCAGTGGGATACAGAATTAAGAAACTTCAAATACAGTGTGTAGTTGAAGATGATAAAGTTGGAACAGATATGCTGGAGGAGCAGATCACTGCATTTGAGGACTATGTGCAGTCCATGGATGTGGCTGCTTTCAACAAGATCTAAAATCCATCCTGGATCATGACATTTAAATAAAAGCTTGAAAGATTGAAAAAAAAAAAAAAAGATCTCAGACTCTTGGCTGGGTGCAGTGACTCACACCTGTAATCCCATCACTTTGGGAGGCCAAGGCGGGCAGATCTCTTGAGGTCAGGAGTTTGAGACCAGCCTGGCCAACATGGCAAAACCCTCTCTCTGCTAAAAAATATGAAAATTAGGCCGGACACGGTGGTACACGCCTGTAATCCCAGCACTTTGGGAGGCTGAGGCAGGCAGATCATGAGGTCAGGAGATGGAGACCATCCTGGCTAACGCAGTGAAACTCCATCTCTACTAAAAATACAAAAAATTAGCCGGGCGTGGTGGCAGGCATCTGTAGTCCTAGCTACTCAGGAGGCTGAGGCAGGAGAATGGCTTGAACCTGGGAGGTGAGCCGGGTTTTGCAATGAGCCGAGATTGTGCCACTGCACTCTAGCCTGGGCAACACAGCAAGACTCTGTCTCAAAAAAATAATAATAATATGAAAATTAGCTGAGCATGGTGGCACACACCTGTAATCCCAGCTACTCAGGTGGCTGAGGTGTGGGAATCACTTGAACCTGGGAGGCGGAGGTTGCAGTTAGCCGAGATCGTGCCATTGTACTCCAGCCTGGGCAACAGAGTGAGACCTTTTCTCAAAAAAAAAAAAAAAAAATTCAGTCCCTTGGCCAGACACAGTGGCTCATGCTTTATTTCCAGCAATTTGGGAGGCCAAGGAGGGTGAATCTCTTGAGGTCAGGAGTTCAACACCAGCCTGGCCAACATGGTGAAACCCCAACTCTACCGAAAATACAAAATTAGCCGGCATGGTTGCCTGCACCTGTAATCCCAGATACACAGGTGGCTGAGGCATGAGAATCGCTTGAACCTGAGAGGGAGAGGTGGCAGTGAGCTGAAATTGTGCCACTGCACTCTAGCCTGGGCTATAGAATGAAACTCTGTCTCAAAAAAAAAAAAAAAAAAGAACTCAGATTCTGTCTTTTCTTTCTGCTCTACCTTCTTAGCTTGTTAGCTTTTCATTCTGAGGCTTGTTGGAATGAAATTCCAATTTGGAATTACAATTGGGTTATAATTACAATTTGGCTGCCACAACTCCATACATCACATTCCACACTTAAGGATGGAAGAAAGAGAGTATACATACAAACAAATGTTTCTATTCCTTTTATGGGAGAAGTTACTTCCCCCTACTCCCGCCCCCCCACCCCATAGAGGTCTTCCAGAAGATTTCTGGTTATATCACATGAGCCCGAACTAAATCACACAGCTAGCCCTAACTGCAAGGGAAGTTAGAAAAAGGCATATTTGTCTTCCAACCTCTATAACAGAAAGAGAAATGGGTTTGGAACTGGCTTTAGGATTCAAACAACAGTTTACGACACATGTCTATATTACACATAAAATGCTAATTATGCTAGTTAATTACAACTAGGTGCAGGACCTTTAAAAGTCCTGGTTTAGAATACAGTTCTCCTTTCCAGCAGAAAACCGATTAAGAATGTTAATGAAGGAGACATTAAAAAGGGACGGGAATGAAAGCTACAGCTTTGTCAGATGGTGCTGACAGTGCTGAGTTGTAGACAGATTACAACTGAAACAGTATCCATAGCCAAATCCTATCTAGAATGAAGGGAAAATTGTAATAGCGTACATAGCTGATGTCCTAAAATGTTCCAGAAGCTTTAAGAGTGTAATAAGGGCCTGGTGCAGGGACTCACACCTGTAATCCCAGCATTTTGGGAGGCCAAGGCAGTAGGATCACTTGAGCCTAGGAGCAGATAAGCCTGGGCAACATGGCAAAACCCCAACTCTACAAAAAAAAATACAAAAATCAGCAAGGCATGGTGGCATGCACCTGTAGTGCCAGCCAAAGTGGGAGGATCACTTGAGACTGAGAGGTCGAGGCTGCAGTGAGCCATGATTCCACCACTACACTCTAGCCTGGGCAACAGAATGAGACCCCGTCTCAAAAAAAAAAAAAAAAAGTGTGATAACTAGAGATCTATCTGGGGCTACCATTTTTCTTTAAATAAGAAAATAGATTTTTACAAAGTATTTAAAATAGACAAGCCAATAATACTAAGAGTTAACACTAAGGGACTCTATTATGATATGCCAAGCACTCAGCTTTACATATAAATGTATGTATCTAATCTCTCAATTGTCCTATCAGGTAAGTACATTCACTAATTTGCTTATGGTCACACAAGGAGAAGCTCAACCTAACTCTAGAGATCATGCCCTTAACCATATTACATTACTGTTTGTTATTTTATTTGTTCTCCTCGGTGTTTCTTATTCATTTTATGTATTTGTTATTTAATCATTCAAATTTGTAAAGTTTAACTCTTGTTTATAAATTGTAAATTGTCCTTCTCTACTTTCTTTCCATAGTATTTCTAGTTCACAAAGTCCTAAAATGGCAAAGCTGTTTCAATATCTTTCAAAAACTTAGAATCAGATAATCCAAATGGATTTTGTAGCTAGTTTTATGAAAGCTTTGATAACATTACAACAAACCTTGTTAGGGTTTTATAAGAAAAAAAAAAAAAGAACTAACCCGACAAAATAAACCACCAAAAAAGGCATCACAACACACAAGGTACAAACAACAAAAGTAGAAACATAAATATACATCTATATTAGTCCTATGTGTTCTAAATCCCTCCTCTGTTTCATCTACTGTGAGTTTGCTACCTCCACAGCACACTGGCATACCATTGGTTCCCTGAATTATTGGGCTATTATTCCCTACCTCGCCCCCACCCCCCGCCAAAACAATAACCCTGTTTGCTCCACACATAGCTGGTAACACACATGTGGTTAATTATACCCAAATCTCTAGTCTCAAACTACCATACTTAGCTTTTTATTTTAGGTTTTTATGCTTCCTTTTTTCTTTTACTGTCTTTTTCTTTACATCTTTATTATTATGTTCCCAGAAATTTAGCTCTCAAACACACATAAGATCCTTCCATACTTTCAACAATACAATGAAATCTGTATCTTCTTATCTACCCAAAAAAACCATAAGCCATATGTTATATGTTATTTTCTCCTATTCTCTCCTTATGTATTATTAAAATTAGAAGTGGATTAAACTTTTTTGTAATTTTTTTTTTTTTTTGAGACAGAGTCTTGCTCTATCACCCAGGCTGGAGTGCAGTGGTTTGATCTCGGCTCACTGCAGCCTCAACTCCCGGGCTCAAGCAATCCTCTCACCTCAGCCTCCTGAGTAGCTGGGACTACGGGCATGTGCCACCACACCCAGCTAAGTCTTTAATTTTTTGTAGAGACGGAGTCTAACCATGTTGCTCTGGCTTGAATTGAACTCCTGGGCTCAAGCAATCCAACTGCCTCAGCCTCCCAAAGTGTTGGGATTACAAGCATGAGACCTAGGCACCTGGCCAGATTAAACGCTTTTTTTAGTTTACTCAAAGGCAGTGTCCTCATATTGGGTTGGAAAACCAAGATGATCACATATAAGGATCTTCCCGCTTGTCTCTCCAGCTGTTTTTCCCAACTCTGGCTAATCTCTGTTTAATAAGGCATCTTTCTTTAACAATTTAGAAGAAAGACAAAACAAAAAAACTCCAGGACAGCATGATCAGCTGACAGACAGCATGATTAGCGAAGAAAACAGTGATGGGAACATACAAGCCTCTTCTCTCCCTCCAATAACCTGGCAGACAACTCCACCTGGTATTTGTCCCATACCTGTAACACACAAATGTTTGCTTGCTAGGTCAACTGTATTTAAACTAAAATATGACAGCTGTAAATAAGAAAATAGAATAGGTGCCATTTTTAGATTCTAACAAGCCAAAGTTCAGGCACTGCTCTCTTGAAAACTGTCACCAAAGGCAAAGAGAGAGCAGCCTCAAGACGAAATAAGAGAAAATCACTACATGGCCTGAATGATTCACGTTGAAATCAGAGGCATCAGATGAGGACTTAAGATGGATCAATAGCTTAAAAAGGTCTCAAGTGAACAATCTGTGCCATTCTCCTTCTCTAATCTCTTGGAGAAAAAAAAAAAGAGCACAAAAAAGCTCTAAGGTCTTTTAATGAGACTATTATTCCATTAATTATTTGAGGCAGTTTTTGTTTCACTAGAATTAATTAACATAACCCTTCTACTTTCAGCTCCAGCTGCATCTGATGTCACTGCTATGGCCGTGAAGAATGAAAACCAAAGGACAACTGGCTACTTAAGGAATTAAGCTGACTAAAATGAAAACCATTCACCACAGCAGTTCCAGTACTCTGGCTGAGACTGTTTTTCTACATATAGCCCACACATCCTGACCAAACTCAAATCTACGCAATTTCAAACTTAGAAAACTTTAACTGCTGCCCCACTGAAGCCATTTTCAAGCTGGAATCATGTTTAATAAACTACTCCATCTATTTCACCATATATATATTTTAAAATAATTAATTTAGCCTCTACTCATTCAGATCTATTAAGTTTCACCATGGTCTATCATGGTTACCTTATAAAAACCTCTTAAACATAACCAACAGATAAATCAAATAAGAATTTTTGGAAATGTTTAACCTTAAGGACAATATTATTTTAAGAATCTAGGTCAAGGGTCTCCCATCCCCGGGCTGCGGACCAGTATCAGTCCCTGGCCTGTTAGGAACCGGGCCTCACAGCAGGAGGTGAGTGGTGAGCTAGTGAGCAATACCGCCTGAGCTCCGCCTCCTGTCAGATCAGCAGTGGCATTAAATTCTCGTAGGAGCATGAACCCTATTATGAACTGCATATGCGAAGGATCGAGGTTGCATGCTTCTCATGAGAATCCAACTAATGCCTGATGATCTAAGGTGAAACAGTTTCATCCCAAAACCAACCATTACCATCACCACACCCGCTCCCCAGGTCTGTGGAAAAACTGTCTTCCATGAAACCGGTCCCTGGGGCCAAAAAGGTTGGGGACCACTGGCCTAAGTCTAATGTATAGAATGGCACAGATTACAAATGA